GGTGTTTTACGTTTAAAGGCTTACTATAATATAACTACAGCATTACATCATGACGTATTATAAAAGGGATTTAGAAATCAGCAACGTGTTTCTTTCAACGCGTAGGGTTATATTATTATTATTTTCGAATCGCTCTAACACCGTTTTGAGTTTTCCTAGGAAAAAGTTCTCAGCCGTAGCACAGTATACATCGACCTCCGTTTCTGTTTGAAACAAAATGTAACCTCTGAATATTTTTATTGTATATTACATTAATTGTCTTTTCCGACTTACAATATATGAATACACAGTGATTCGCAAAACGTGCACATAGCTAAGTTATATTTATTGAGAATTTAAAAATATCCTGATTTTTAAAATCTTCAAGTATACTGTTCAATTTAGAGCATATAATTTCATATACTTGGATGTTTAAGGTGTTGGTATATCCTGTTGCGATACAAACTACTTTTTTTTTTTAATGCACACATGAAAATCCCTCTTTTTACAGTAAATCGTTAACCAGATAAATTTTCAAAAACTTTGATGCTTATAAATTGAAATCAGAACCGGTGGTTTCTAAGTTATTCAATTTCATGTATGAACTAATGATAATAGTGCTTAATAGTTAATAATGGTTTTACATAAAATAGACAATAGATGTACCTAACAGTTAATGAAGTAGCTTAGGTACTTATTAAAGTCAGACAATGTTTAATAATATCTATACTGAATGGAAAATAATAATAACAGTATATAATTAAATGATTCACATTATTATTGTTATTAAAGTTGTTATTTTATTTAAATTTTATTTGTATTTAGTTTGATGTTGAGTTTGAGTTAATGACTTCGAAAAGTGCAATTTCCAAGCACAATTAACATCGCTCGTGATTATTGCGCCGGATTCAATATACATTGCAAACGACTATTATAATTAGTGTTTTAGATATTTCAGACCACGTCACTTGAAATATATTACGTTTGTGGTACCTACCATTGTATATTGTAATGATTATAGTGCTCAAGTACATGACGACTCGTGAGTTTTTGAAAAAATATCAAAACCCAGCTTGATAAAATTGTAAATTATATTTTATTCAAACACTTACTTAGTACTTGCCTACCATTAAATTTTTTTATTAATAATTAAAAAGTTCAAAAAACGGTAAGCGTAATAAACAACTATATAAACAGCATAATTAGTAAGTGAGTATGTGTTTATACTTCATTGCATCAACACTCAACAGTATTTATAAACCGTCGAGATGATGAGGTTCAAAAGTTAAGTTAGTTTGGGTTAATTGGCTAAATGACCCCTAATACTAGGTATTAACCAGGGCTCGCTTTGACCACTGACCAAAGAGCTGTTATTAATTATTTATTTTCAATCAATTTTCTAAAATGTCGTATGTAGGTTTCGTTATATAATATTATAATTATTTATATAGGTATTATATTTTTTTATCGTGTTTATATTGGCTATCTGTTTTAGAATTATTATTTGTTTTAAAGCGTTTATATTTTACACTTACGAAACTTGACCTTTAAGAACACTAATATATTATTTATTACAAAAGCGCAGGTACCTACTACCTACAGCAAGTACAACGCGTATGTGCACATTTTAAATGCTTAACGAAATGAATTTTCCGTGTAGTTTCTATTCATTAGGTATAATATGATGTTTATATAGTATACACAATGTGTGTATTATGTCGATACATGCAATTTATGTAGTAAACAAGTTAAATATTGCAGAGAGTTATGAGAGAAAAATATTATGTTAAAATATAATAATACGCACCCGAAATGGTTTTGCAACATTTTCTATAAAAGGGCAGTATATATTTGATGTATTATTATAGGTTCATGTACATATTGTTATTAAATATTATAATTTATAATACCTACATTATTATCAATTGTTGTTAGATGTGAAACTGAGGTAAACTTATGTCAGTTTCCAGGCACGGTCAGGGCAGTACAGTTCAAGGAGGTCCATATTAGAAGTTACACAATGAAATGAAAACATATAAGATTATTAAATAACAAGCAATACTAGACATATTATCACAATTATGTTTTATTTTATTATAATACTAGTCTATGATTAGCTAAGGGAAACATTTTTAGGAACACTCAGAATTTTTAAAGTGCCTTTATTCCAAAAGCTTTATAAAATAATGATACTTCTTAACAATTTTTCGCAAACATCGGTTTGGTAAAATAAGTACTTATGTTTTTTGTTTTATCTAATATGAATTAAATAGTTTTTTTTATTTCACAGTGGCTAAATCAACTAAACCTTATTATTAATTGTAAATTATTTTTTTTTTAGTGGGGGTTAATATCATCCTGGACGGATATATACATATTATATATATATATATATTTTTTAGATTCTGAGTGAAACGATGAATGTATTGATTTTACAATGATGTGTGTTTTTTTATTTTTTTATTTTTTTATTTTTTTATTTTTTTATTTTTTTATTTTTTTATTTTTTTTGTATCTGTGTACACGATAAGTAGTCGAAATAATGCTTCGATTTTCGACTTCAGTATCTTGTTCGATTGGAAAGTGAATATCGTTGGTGCATTGGGGAGGTCAAAATTTAAATTTCCCAGTAGTTTTCACACGCGCCGGGAAAAACAACATAAAAATTAAGGAAAAACGGGAATTTTTACGCAAAATTGATTTTCCAAAAAATCGATTTTGGTTATTGGTGTAACTTTAAAACAAATGAACGTATATACATGAAATTTTCACTGGTTGTTTATATTTGCATTTTCTATACACGATAACATTTTCAAAATATTTTGATTTATTTTGAACTGTTTAGGGACATTTTCATTTTTCGTTTTTTTTTAGTTTTTTTTCTAGAAATATCAATAAAATTTTATTTGTTGGTTGCGAAAGCTTGAAAATTTAATAGAAGGCTCCTAATATATTGTTTCAAAGGCAGATGAAAAATATTAAAAATCCTTAGTCACAATTTTTTTTTATAAGCATTTAAAGTTCAAAAATTGACAAAATATGGAAAAATCACGAAAATTAGCAAATTATTTTGAGTTAAGAATTCGTAAAAATTTTTCTTTTTAAATCTAAGATTTGAAAATCTAATACAAGATTACTCATAAGATTGTCTACCTTTATCAATAAAAAAATCTCTACCGGAAAGTCAAATTAAATTTTTATGAGCGTTTGAAATTCAAATTTTTACAACATTGGATATTCACTCGATTTCTCATGTGGCAATTTCCTTTTTTTGTTGTAATTAAAAAACGAATTACTGTAAATACATGAAAATTTCACTGAATGTTTATATTAGCATTTCCTATACACCATACAATTTTGAAAATATTTTGACTCTTTTTGAGCCGTTTACGGACATTTTCAGTTTTCAATTTTTTTAGTTTTTTTTTTCTATAAATATCAATTAAGTTTTATCTGTTGGGCCAAAAAGTGTAAAAATTTAATACAAGGCTCCTGATATATTGTTACAATATCAGTTGAAAAATATTAAAAATACATAGGCACAATTTTTTTTTATAAGCATTTTAACATCGAATTTTGACAGAATTTTTCAAAATCTCGAAAATTATTAATCATCGTAATTAATAAATTATAAAATGTTCAGTTTTTATAGCTAAGGATTGAAAATTTAAAACAAGATTCCACGTAAGTAGTTAATTCTCTTACCGAAAAATCTAAAAAATATACAATCACAGTTTATTTTTATAGTCATTTTATGTTCAAATTTGGACGAAATTACATATTAAAAAACCTAGTTATTTTGTTGTGATTATATAATATTATTCGTGGGTACCTACTTGAAACTTCTAAAGTGTACTATTATATATATATGATAGTATCAGGGTTTGTTGTTGGTGTATAACGTGTTATAAGTACCTAATGGATATTGTGATATGATTAATTTGGAATTTATTTTAGGTCAATTTTTTTTTAATACCATAGATATGTATATAATTTGTCTTAAACCTAGACTAACATACCGTCTTCGCTCAGAATCGTTTTTCTTATACAATGATATTGTATCATTGAATTCAAATTTAAAAGCATCCATTATACAGTGACCCACTTGTAACCTACTGTACAGCAGAGCGACATCCACTTACCCACCTTTTTTTTTATTGGTCTTGAAATTTATACAATTTCTGCTTCGACTACTTGGTCATTAGCATATTATATTATATTAACTATATACCTAATAAGGGGAAAGGAATACAAATAAGTTCACCCCCGACCCCCTTTAACAAAACTGCGTACGCCACTGTGTCATATAGACTTATTATAGTACATTTGGACTCCAAAAATAAAATAGGTAAGTATCATAATTTATAATTATGGTAGTTTATGGGTAAGGAATGTATAATATCGTTCGACAATATTAAACATTAGACGGTGCAAACGTAAAATTATTATTATTATAACAATATGTGTGATGCTAGCTTTGAAATTCAGAAGAATAGAATTTCGCTCTAAAGAAAGACCTGTACGCCGACTAAGCTATAAAACGTGCAAGTGATTAATATTAATTATTGTAATGTAAAGTTTATTGATCAGTCAATAACCATTACTTTGGTAATACGTATAAAAAAAAATCATAATTAACAGTAAAAAATGTTGGTCTCATTTGAAAAAAAGAAGTGGTATCGCCACGTGACACTTCTAAAATGTTATAGAAATCTATAGAATTTAAATAATAATATTATGGTCTATGAGCATAATATTAAAAATTATAATTTGAATACACTTATTATTAAAGGAAAAAATGATGACGAGCATGCTGGTAAATCCCTCTGTATATTCTTGTAATTAATTAATTTAATTAACTGGCACAATTTGAATTAAAATGTATTCCAGACATAGTAAACATATAAAATCTCGTTTCCAAAGAAATGGTGGCTAGTATTAAGCTATAATTTATTTGTCTCTAATCTCGAGTTATTGTCTGTGTCAATAAATCAATCATAATTTAATATAACTTTCTTACAATGATGTCTTCAATTGCAATAACTCCCATGAATTTGAACAATGGACGTGAGGGCTGCTATTACGCTGCAAGTCCATTAACTAAGCCATACTTTTCAATGCCAAATAGAATGTTAATGACACCTGAAACTGCTGAAACGAAAATTCAAGCGCCGTCCGCCAGGACAGTCCCAACTAAGTCGAAATCCCTGTCCGAACTCAATGTAGCGGTGCCGGTCACTTGTGTGGATCTGGAGGATACGGACGCTGCAATACTGGACCAAGTGGTAACCACGAACACGGTCAAAACTGGAAGCCGATCTTTTATCATGTCTTCAATAATTACATTGAACGACATGGATTTGGACGAGGCCAAGAGTCGTGAGAGTTTTTACGCTGCAAGTCGACTGACCAAAGTCAATTTTTCCATGGCAAATATTATGTCGATGACATCCGAAACGACAATCCAAGTTCTGTCCGCCACGATTAATCCCAATGGAGTTGAAAACCCTGACCGAATTAAATTTAGAGATGTCGGTCACCTGTGTGAAACTGCGGGATACAGATGCTGCAAAAACGGACCAGGTGGTAACCATGAACACGGACAAATCTATAAGGGGCGATCATTTTGGAAACGTACTAAAAAATTCTTCAGGCTGCTCGTAGTTCCGAGCAATTGCTGTTGTGCCATTGTAGATGCTGCTATATAATAGTTAATATACAGTATATATATGTAGTTTACTTAAACACGTGTATGACTTGTTTCAGCAAGTAAGGAAAAATATATTCATACCTATGATATAATGTATATTATACTATATATTATATTAATATATGTTTATTTATATATGTATAATATTATATAGGTGGGTGTGTGGACGTCAAGACTTAGAAAAACCAATTTGCTGCTCCGTTTATGGCACCAACCAATAATTAATCATTATTTTGTCATATACGGTGAAAAAAAAAATGAAAACCAACAAAATAATATGATAATATTTATTATGATGTGTGCGCGCACTCATGTTATAAATACAGTATCGAACAAACGTGCATATAATTTGTGTTCCAATATGATCCGGACAAAGGGTGGCGCTTTAAGGGATTTCGAGACCGACATTATCATATACCCCTTACTGGGTTCAATGCGCACACACACACATACACACACACATATATTATATAATATAGACGACTCACGACACTCGCACATGTGTGTGTGTATGTGTGCGTTTTATGGCCAAAAACCATTATTGTATTTTTAGTTAACTACATGGAATAGTATGTTCTCCGGTATAACCCACATAATACAGTAACCTAGCAACGAGCGCAGTATAAAATATTGTCGGAGGCGATTAAAACCGAATGATTATGATACGCGTAAATAAATAATAATTGAACCGTCGGCGGTATAATAACACTCGGTGGTATATAACGTGATACGATATACGCATACAATAATATGATACACGATATTGCGACGTAGAAGCCCGTCATTATTTTTGAGATCGTTTTACGCAACATTGGCCAACATACTCATATATTATAATAAAGATACACACAAACCTACAGGGCATAGAAGAGTTAAACGTTTAGTCACTTTTAACTTTTTAACTTAACTTTTTTTAAATTACATTTTTATTATCTTAATTTTTAGCTCAACTGATTTTATCGATATAAACTTAATAAATAACGAGTTATCTTTAATAAAATTCTGGTTACGTTAGTTTTTTAATAATATAATAAAATTATTATTAGTGATGCACGTTGCATAAACATTTACTTTTTATTATTTTAAACCATATTAGTTACTGACTATTTAGTGTTTATAAATTAAAAAAAAAATTATTGAACTTAAGTTAAGTCAATTATTGTAAGGTTTCATATAACTCTTAATCTTAACTTTTATCTGAGTAAACAAAAAATTAGGATTAACTTTAAACTTTTAAAATGTTTTGTATCTCAATTAACTCAATTAAAAATTATCATTATAACTTGCCCATGCTTGTATAGTTCAATAGTTGTATAAACATATAGGTTTAGAAGCAAATATATTGTCCGTGTTTACTTCATTATTGTTTGTGGAAATGCATACATCCGTCCAGACCCCAAAATCCATTCATAACATTGCAGTGTACAAATGTATAATAATATACAATATATAATATAATATGCAATACAAAACGATACGATACAATTATTATATACTCGTAGTATTAAATGCTACGACTTTAACAGTTATAGTTCTTGAGGGTTTATAGTTACGCTTATGAGTTAAAATAGAAGGTACCTTTGTTGACGCGTAATATCTATCATGATTCATGAATCGTGTGATGGTTTATAGTTATTTTGGTTATTACGTACCTGAGTGTGATCTAAAGATATACCTACTTAAATACAAATAATAATAATATAACAACCATTACTTTTAATTTCTATACAATAAACAAATATTTTCCTTATTCACGCTCAGCTCGAGGGAGCTTTGTAAAACCATCGTTTCAGTGGGTTCAAAACTATATTATAATAATATACTGACCTTAACACTTCGCTTCCTGAATCAACAATCGATTGTAAAGAAATAGAAAATAGGTATTGAAAATATTTTTGATATACGTTTCTGAATACTTTGTTCAAATAAAAGCAATATAATATACCTACATAATATATTGATATATTATTATTATAGGTTTATTATACTATTGAACTGTATTTTTGTGTAGGTTATCGTAGATATCTGTGTTTCTAAAAAAAATCAACTATTATAATATACCTATTTATAATTATATCATATCAGAGGCGTAGCTAGGGGGGTGGCTAAGGGGGCTATAGCCCACCCCCATTGATCGTGTTGACCTTAGAATTTTATCAAGATTACCTAATAAAAAAATAAAAAGTGTAAATAAAAGATATATTGTATTCGTATACTTAGCCCCCCCCCCCCATACAAAATTCCTAGCTAAGCCACTGTATCATATTCATTTATTCGTCTGATCATGCTATCTGTGCCCACTGACAATCACAATCGACCTGTACGATTTCAATATCTGCCAATAAGATTCGCGTTATTTTTCGTTATAATCACGTACTTATCGTATATTATATAAAAATATGGTCCTCTGCAGGTGTCGATATATAAGGTCGGTGGAAACCGTTTCGTTTTAGTTTTCAACATAGTCAGATCCCTACCACGTGCACCGTGTACACGGTCGTTCTTGGTTACGTAGTGTGTACCTACGCACGTCACGTTATATTATTTATTTTTTACATACAGTAAACACAGTCCAACCAAAGGATATAAACCAGTCACCGTAAACAAACATCCGATCGTTTTGTAAGGTAGCTGACGTGATGTACCTATTTCTGTTTTATTCTCAAAATATTTAATGCCTCCGGGCAAAAGCGGACAGCGAGAGGACGACGACCATCGATCAGTGTCGTCTTTAACGGATAAATGATGGTTGTGGGGCGGCCTTGTTGTCCGGCGAAAAGCTTCCTCCGTCGTTCACTGTCGGCTGTCGCCGTCTTATCCCCGCGAATCCGTTGTACCTATAATTTTTCATTTGATCATTTAATAGGTAGATATTATATTACAACATCACGGTAACGGCTGGTTCCAATCGTGCTTCAACTATGTATGATGAACAAACCCGGGGTGCCAACCGTGCATACCGAAATCTGTCCGGAACGGAATATATTGGATTTTGTGTGTGTTTTTTTTGAATGTAAATGGCGACAATATTGAAGAGGTGAACTTGAAATTTTGAAGAAAATATTTGTATTTCTATAAATTGTGACGAAGAAGAGTTCAGACTGAAGTAAAACTTCTCATCCTAGAAACAGAAAAAAAAAATAAACAATTTTGACACACTGACTAAAATTTAGGTACATAATATACAGAGTGTTCCATGTCTACTGGTCTTTAATCACCTATTATTATTTTGTCTCGATTTTGGCTACATTGTTTTATTATTTTTCATTGGGTTCCTACCTAATTGTACCTATTGTTTTCTTAAGTCACGCATTTTAGGTAATAACCTACCTGAAGAAATTAAAAATCAAACTTCAAATTAACGTTTTACATTGATGCATCAACGATTATGGGGGAGTTTTGTTCGAGTTGGATAAACGGAAGGCAGGAAAGGAAAAAAAAATAATAGATTTAAATGATTTATTAGATAATCAACCGGCAGAGATAATTCAGAATAATTGGACTATTAGGTACTGTTATCACGCAGGTGGTTGGTGATGAGTTCATTCATTGTGATACTCAGATAATATCATAATAATGGTAAGTAATAACTAAAAAATATATTATAATGAATGTATATTCAATATTGTATACTGCATATTATAGTAATTATAATGGTTTAGAAACGCAGGAATCCATTTTTATGTGAACGTCACCACCCATTGTAAATAGTTGTAATCTTCACCATCGTTCTGTCATTTAGAATTGCCAAACAAATCCCTCTCCGAAATTGACTACCCTTTAAATATTGCTCCCAAACACAGATATACAGCAGTTTAACCGGATTAATGATTTGTGCCGACCACAACCACACGCATATATCAATAATAATAATAACTATTATTATTATCGTTTTGTTACCGCATACAGACAGCTAATACCTAGGTAGTGATAATTATACATTGCGATTACATACACGAAGCTCGCATTCAAAAGAGTATTTTGAAGGTGTCGAATGCATTTATTAAATTTTTTAATATTTCCACGTGTTCAAAAATATAATATGAGAGTGTTGTAAGTCATAATAATAACTTATAAGACAATCGTTTGATATTATTATTGTTATTATTATAACATCCCTTAACCAAAGTCGTCGATACTCGATGGTTCGATTGAATTGTGTGAATTGTGTGAATTGTTGTGTCGTTTAGGTTAATACGTATACTTATACATAACACGTTGGATATTTTTATTGTATATCGTGTCATGGACACAGCTAGTGCGGGTCCAATTGAACCATATAATATATTATGTGTCTACGATAGGACGTCCATAGGTTTATAACTTCAGTCTCGTGGACGTCCCATTGGATCCACCCATAGATAATAAAGACATGGATAGGACATATAACGTCTTCTGGTATTCATTATGTGTTAGTTTTGCTGTCCAAAATTGAAGTGGTTTGCTTACATTTTTATACGTATGATTACGTTTATTTATATGGATAATCAGATAATGGATTTAGGTATACTTTTTTGGCCTCAATTTGTATAATTTCATTCATCACCGATAAGACGTTATGTCCTATCCATGTCTTTATAATCTATTGATCCACCAAATGTCCAGGTAGATAAAGTGTAAACATAATTCGTTTTTTTTTAAATATTATTTTATTGTATGTATCATTAAATTCCATGGTCGATATTATCATTATTATATAGATTATAGAATTCACCTTAACATTTTTCCGTATAGAACCGATTGATGCTGCAGATGTATTGGAAACAAAACTTAATTTAATATTGATGAGCACTACTTATATGCCATTTCTGGTCATAACGAAAATTATGAAAAAATTCCTATTTTCATTGATAGTTGCACTATCATCTTCAAGTAGGAACAGAAAAAAGATCATTCAATTGAAATTCGATTTCAAAGTGACTTGTTTGGAATTTCACGAGTACATTGATGGAAAAATAGAGATACTAAAGGTCAAAAAGTCAGAAAAGTATATCAAAA